GTGTGAAATGGCTGTGGCAGAAATTCCTGAGCAGAGACAGCTGCCTCATTTCCTCAGGAGCTTTTCCAAGCAGCATTCCTTCCTTTCCCACCTTCCCTCTGCAGACTCTGAGGCTGTTGAACATATCTAAGCACACAGTTTTTTCTGTGTCCCAAGAGCTGGCTTAGTCACTTAATGATTTTATATACCTCTATCTCTTTTTCTTCAGGGAAGGGAAGAGGTAAAAGATCTACTATTCTGACGTTATTAAAGGCATGCTCCTCTGTGGAACTCACTGAGGGGATCAGGGAACCTGCAGGGATTTCTGGGGAAAACTGTCATGGAGCTGAAACCAAAGCTAGAGGTGACCATGGGACCTACACAGTAACTGCCCAGGGGGTTGCTCTGGGCTCCAGGGAGGTGTCTCTGGCACTCCAGTCTCACGTGGGGTGGTGACAAGTGCACATGGTGCCTGTGTTAAGCTGGGGACTTCCAGCCCCTGTGGAAGGTGCTCCTCCCCTCCCAGGTTTTTTTCTGGTTGCTCCAGCAGGACATGATCCCACTGCTTGCTGGCAGGAAGGGTGTTTGTGCCTGTGTCCTACACAGCAGAACTGGAGCCCAGACAGCCCACTCAGAACACCCACACCTGGGGGCTTCGAATCCTGAGTCACCTCCAGGAAACACTTCCAGCTGTCCTTGATGGCCTTCCCTGTCCAAAGCCTCTGCTGGGCAGGGAGGAACCACATCTTCCCTGAAAAGATGATCGCCACCTAAAATTTCCTTGGCTGTTTAGCCAGGATCAGTGAGATGCCAATCAGGCCAGGATATGTATGGATAATTCTGAATACCAACAGAGTTCACCTGACAGCCCCCCCCCACCCCGAGTTAGGAAGTGCCAGCGAGGATGGGGAATAGAATCAGCCTGTCATTAAGACAATGAGGCCCATATGCTCGTGCAGTCAAATAAAAGTGAACTCAGTGTATTAAAGAGCCAAAAAACCAGATGAATGAACCACAACAGACATCCTGAAAATCGTGTTTATAATGCAAATATTGATATTTCTCTTGCTTTTTTTCCCTGATGTAAATCACATCTCAATAAGGCATCTGCTAGAAGAGAACATATTTTTGCCTCTGAGCTCAGACTCAAATGAAGCAAACCCAAGTTGAGAGAATACCTACAGGCTGCTGTGATGACTGGAGACCACAGACAGTTGGGAGTCACAAACCAGACTTGCCATCGTGATGGATGCTGAGCCTGAAAGTCATTTATATGCAAATCTGCACAAACTAATCTGAGGGGTTTTTCCCTAAAAATGCAAACCACGCCATTTTCTCCTGGGATCAAACTGCAAACGTTGGGATTGGGGGAATCCAGAAATAGTTGCAACCAGAAAACACTTCAGTGCCAGAGAAATTATCCTCTTTCTCCTGTTTCCATGTTGCTTGTACACAAGAAGAGAAAAAAGAGAAGGGAAACACATCTCCAGAACTTATGGGCTTGCTATTATTTTTCATTCTCAGGAAGAATTTCCCTTACTTTGCTAAAGGTTTGGGCTGTCATTGCTCTGCACTTGCTCTCTACCTGCTGCTGGCTCAGACAGTTATTGCTTTGCAGGTCTGACAGATCAGCCCACCTTTCTCCATCAGTGACCCAATTAACTGGGCAAATTATGTCTTATACACAATGCTAGCAGAGGGCTCTGAGCTTCAGGCTTTCCTCCTGGGAAAATGTACCAAAATTCCTTTCCTTCCCTTTGAAGGTGCCCCTCTGAGTGGATATATCACATCCCTGGGTGACAGGGGCAAGCCTGTGGTACTAAACAATGTTTGGCTCAAGGGCAGTCAGATGTGCTTTCTTATCTGCTTTTCTTGTCATATATATATTTTTGCCTTTTGCTGATATTCTTATTTTTCTGACCCCCCTTTCAGGGAGCACAAAGAAGAAATATACCCTTTTCCTTGGCTTCCTTTTGGACTGTCTTCCTGAGAGCCAAAAGGCTGTGAATACTCTCAGTTCAAATGCCAGTGCCCTCTCAGCTGGAGGGCTAAACCATACCCAGCAGGTATGGACACACTATCAGGAACAGGCACCTCACCCATCCAAACTGTGCACCCACAGCAGCAAAAGAGGTAAGTGTTTGGAAAAGACATTTATGGGTTTTAGCCAAGCAGAGATTTTCATAAAACACAGTTTCAACTTGGTAACCCAGAGTTTATAGACTTTCTGAGCACTGAAGTGGGTAAGTAGAGGTTAAAAGCTATGAAGTAATGAGAACTGAGCCCAAAAACCTGAGTGTAGAAAGAGCTGTGCTAGTTAACACCAGCTAAGGACTTGGCTCTCAGCTTCTCTGTATCAGATGACACAAGTTGTTGTTGTGGGTTTGTTTTGTTTCCATCTCTGCTGTTGTGGGATTTGACCACATTGCAACATCCCCAGCCCGTCAGAGCCTGCACAAGGGCTCCCTGTGCTCCACAGCACATCTCCATCACTGCAGTGTAACCCAGCACTCAGGGCTCGGGACAGTGCCCGAGGTGTAGGGACACTTCTCCAGCTGCAGTGTGGCACTGTCCTGTGCTGGCATCACTGACAGGCTGCTACAGGCCACTCATGACCATTTCCTGCCCTCAGATCACATTGTAAACGCATTAATAGATCACAACTGTGGCTCATATCTCGCTTAGCTGGTGAAAGGAAATCCCTCTCCTCCAGATGAAGGGAGTGAAGGTGGGAGTGCCATTCCTGCTTCACCGGGACTACGGCAAAGGCTTTCTTATGGTTCAAGATTGAGGAGAATAGCTGTGCTTTCCTCTCATTTCTTCTCAGGCACAAAAAGGTGCAGTTTGGGAGCTCATATTAACCAGCCTCATGAAGTGCACCATATGTTTTAGCCTTTCTTAATTACTGTAGCCTTTACAGCCTCAGCTAGATGTCATACTTAGTGCTTTGTTTTACAATTAAATCTCTCCTTTGGGGAGATCTTAAAACCTTTTTCTCTTGCCGTCGGTGAAGTGTAAAGGAGAACTGCAAATTTACATTACTCTGGGCAAACAACAGTTTTGTTAGGAAAACAAGCTTTAAACTATTATTATATCAAAATGCTTTTTATTAAATGCTGTGTTGATGCTGCATAACAAGAATGTAAGAGATAAAGGACATTTTCTCTCCCTCTTCAGCAATGCCTTGCATAAGGCAAAGCTTCTGTTTATTATTTGCAATTAAAGGTCTACACAAAATAAAATAAAACCAATACCAGCTCAGGTCTCCACATGTTTTCAAGATCTCAATGCTAAGGAGGAATTTACATCTCAAGCAGACTGTTGGTAACCACTGAAGGACTCGAATGTATTCACAGCCCTCTCCCACTCCTCCAACCCACACGCACTTTTTGCAAAGAGCTTTGCACACAGATATGTCTCAGCAAAAAAAAAAAAAAAAAAAAAAATAACAAAAAAAATTAAAATTCTTAACTAACAGCAAGCTTAAATTTAGCCCTTCTGAGCCTCATGTGGAGATCGCTGAAGTTCCACTGGAAAACAACTCGCTGAGGTGATTCCTGGGGGCAGGGATGGGAATACAACTTTCTTTGGCTCCACAGCTGTTCCCAAGCACTGACTAAACATCACAGCTCCCCTGGAAGGTAAATAAGGGATTAACCACACCTTGTGGGCATCATCTTGGGGTGGAATTCAGCAACAGTGTGGCGGGAGGGGAGTAGAGTTGCTGTGGAGGGCTGGCACTGGGATGGCTCCATCTGGAACTGTGAGGAACTGCCACCACTCACCCCAAATGTCATGAGGTTTTCTACTTATGGCAGCAATTCCCAACTATGTTTTGTGCTACTTTATATAGATAATGCCAAAGAGGGAAAAATCCTCATTATGTTTTCCAGTTTCTCAGCGACTGGTGCTGTCTTGTCACAGAAGCATCAGTGTTGCAGTTTCAGGGAAGATCAGTTTAATTTATTGCTGACTGAAATAGAGATGGGCCAGAAACAAAACCCTAAAGCACGTTCCTCCCCCTCCTTTCTCTGGGGTGTCACTGGGCTGTTTCTAACATGTTTTTCTTCCCAGACCAGTGGCATTTTAATCTTTCTCTGATCCCTCTGCCCAGAGGGGCTGAGGGGGGGGCCGCTGTGGAACCCCCTGGGACCGGCCCAGCCTCCCCTCACAGAGGGGCCTCTGCAGCCCCCCAGCCTTGCCACAGGCACCCAGTACGAGGAGAAACAAGGAAAAGGGTTCTTTTTGTGTGTGGACACCGTAAGAAGCCAAAGGCACTGCGCTGCTCCAGAGGAATTCCAAACAAGAAAGTGATGGTGGGTGGTGCCCAGAGCTGGAAGGGCCACTGCAGCCCCCGCTCCTCACCCCAGGCAGGGCACACTCCTGTGTTTTCCTTGTGTTAATGGTTCCCTGCTCCCTCTCCTTGGGCCAAAACACCTCTTGGAGGGCACCCTGGGTCCCCCAGGTCTGCCACAGGGAGCCCAGACCCTGCTTGGCTGCACCAAAGGTGCTGGGGGAGAAAGACCCTCCTGCATGAGGAGCCCCCTGAGGGGTCCCCTCTTGCTGGTGGGGCCTTTGGCAGCCACATAGTCACCTCTCCTCCTCCTCAGGTTAAAATCAGAGGAAAAATGAGATCCCCCTTCCTTCTCTGAGGACAGGGTTTGCACAGGGCTCAGGTGTGACTCCAGCATTTTCCCTCACCCCTGTGAGGATGCTGGACTATGCAGAACTATTCCAGAAAAGCCTGGAGGTGCACAGGGGACACAGGGAAGTGGGGTTGTTTTGATGAGCAGCTACCATAGTGCTTTGGTAATCCCAGTGTTCAGATCTCACTTTGAGGACAACCAAAAAACCCACTCCAAACAAACACAGTTTCCTCTGTGACCCTTTCTCTTCCCCACAGAGGCTTCTGGCTCACGCTGGAGACCACTGGGGTGGGACCTGTGGGCATCTGGGATCTGCCCACCACTGCTTGAAAATCTCTTCAGAGCAACCCTTCCCCCGAAAGTGGAACGTGCTGAGGACACAGTCTGGGCTGCTACAGGTCAGACCCTCACTACGGAGGATTTTTTTTTTCCTATTTGTTTATTTTTTCTTTCTGATGGTTACAATACTAATGGGCCGCATTTTTCATTCTCTCTGGCATTGTTAAGGAGAAACAAGGATATAGGGATATCCCTAAACAGTTTACATCTGTGTTCTGAGTTGCAGAGTAAACACCCAGCCAAATTTCAGGGGGGAAACTGGAGACAGCTGTGAAAGGGGCATTGCTTCTGTTTGTTTTATAGGGTCAGTTGTTCCCTTCAGTAGGAATGGGGGAACCACGTCCCAGGCTATCAGGAGTTGACCTTTGAGCACGAGCTAACCAGGGCCACACAATATTCCAGCCTTGTTCCTTTCCTACCAGCAGCATCCATGAATCCAGTGGGGCAGTACGTGCTGTGTGTGGGTGCCTATTGCACAGATCGAGCACTGCAGCTTCCGATACGGTGGGAAAACAGAAAATGAGACATTGCAGTTGTGTTTTCCAGAGCAGGTAACATTAGGACTAATTTTTAACTTTGAACCAAGATGTTTTTGTCTGCACTGGGTATATTTGTGCAGGATGAGGTCTCCAAATAGTCCCTGTGGGGCTCAAGAGCTGGTTTTGCTAAGATCTTGGCTGGCTGTGTGTGTCTGCACTGCCCAACAACAGGGATGGCTGATAACTTTCACATGTTGTTAGAGACCCATCATGGCAGAAGTTGGTGCTAACCAGCTCACATGGCCTTCAGCTTTCCAAGATTTAATCATCAGGTTTCCAGGCTCATTCAAGTTTTTATTAGCTCCACACCTTATGCAATTTGGGAAGCCTCTAATATGAGGCCCTGCTGCTGGCTGGAGGAGAGAGCTGGTCTGCCAGCCCTTGGTGACAGTCACTTGTGTCCCCACAGCAGTCAAAACACAGTTTTACTTGCTGCTTTGGATCATTTGTATTTTACAAGAAGCAAGGAAATCAGCAATGACAACTGCATACTCTACGAGAGTAGGTTAGTTTCTATCCCAATGGGTTTATTTTAACAGAAGACTGGTTTTTTGCTGCAAGCCTGAGGCTGGGGTAGCAGGTGGCATCAAACAGCAGTTTGTATATGGGGTAACTTTGTGACATCTGGGGAAAAGCCATTCAGTGGTTTGTTTGTGCAGTGGGTATTTATTACCAATCCAGGATGTTACTTGAGCTCAGACCCTGTGTTTTTGGCCTCAATGCAAACATTTGTGTTTGAGCCATTCACCAGAGGAGAACAACGATCTGTGATGAGTAATTATAAGGGTTTATGCACTTCTTTGTCAAAGGGGACCTTGCTGTACCTTCCAAACTGCCAGTGACCCACACTCACTGGAAACAGGTCTGTGCCTGTGTGGGCTGAGCTGGAAACCTCTCCTCAGCAATGACAGCCTCTCCTTTGTCTTGTGTGTCACCAGGCTGGGGTTACACCAGGGGTCCCACAGAGATTCAGGTGCTGGTCAGACCAGATCTGTGTGTGAGGACTGAGCAGCACCTGGTACCTGCAGGGGATGAGACAAAGCAACAGCCTCAGTTAGGGAGGGGATGTAAAGGGCTGCTGGGATTTGGGATCCTGCTGGAGAGCACAGAACTGTGGAGCTTAAACAGTGTTTCTCTCTGCATTTGTGAGCACTAGAGATGAGACAGAGCTGGTCTTATGATTTGAGGGGTTTTGAAGGGCTGATGTTTCTGGCAATTTTCTGGTAATTCAGTGAGTGGGCAAAGGCAGTGGGGAACTCCAGACAGCAAAGCAGAAAGTTGGGAAATGGGGCTTCCCATGCAGTGACGTGCAGAAGTAGCAGATGGAAATCATACTTCAGGGATGAAGACACAATCCTCTCCTTTTGGGTTGGGAATGGAGCGTGTTACAGGGATTATGAACTTGCAATTGGAATCTAGATGGGAATATTCAGGCCCAGAGTGACCTTTACAAATCTATTTTGTAAATTTGGAAAGGACAGAAGGGGATGCCACATAGGCTGGTGCACATGAAAAGCACACAGAACTGATGTTGTGGATATGGGAGTGAAACCCAGAGTTGATAACAGCAGAAATAGGAGTGCACAGGGATGTGCCTGCAGGGCTGACAGTGAACACACACAGGCTGTTTTTGGGGGGTTCTGTGGCATGAGCAGTATGTGTGTGGGCACAGATTCTGACTCCAGCAGCAGCAGCTCCCTCTGATGCTATAGGATACTGCAGCAGGAGATGGATATGTGCTCATCTTGAAAACAAATGCAAGAACTATTAATTTTAGCTGGCCATGCAAACGAGCCACAGTGCTGCTCTGAGCAGAAATACTTCCACAGAGGAAAAAGCTCCTGGCAGTAGAAGATGAGCAGGTAAAATTCAGCACTCAGGAGGGTATGTAAGCTAAATATCTAAGTAAACGAATGACAGAAGATACAATTTATTTCACGCAAGAAGCCTGGCAAGTCCTTACTTGCACTGAAAGGCCAATGGTTAAAAAAACCAAAACCACACAAACTTAAGGGAGAGTTTGAAGTTCTCCCTGCCATCCTGCCTGGAGGTGGCTGTGTGACACTGCAGCCTCTCCAGTTCCATTCCTTCTCCATCCCTGCTGGGGTTGCTGCCTTTCCTCCTGCTGGGCAGCTCTCGGGGGCTGCTGCTGCTGTGTTCTCCCTGTGCCCCTGCCCCATGCTCAGATCCCAGCTGGACCTGGAGAAGAAATGGTCCAATGTCACCAAAGAGAGGCCTTTTGCTGCCTTCTCTTTGCTGTCAGTCCCTCTCCTGGTTTTACTGCCTGCCAGTTGCTCAGTGGGTGCCCTGTGGGAGATGCCCTGTGGGAGTTGCTCCTTTGCCCTGAATAGCCCTGTACAGCTCTCAATGTGCCCTGTCAGTAAATCAGATTCCTGCCTTGGGACAATAATTTGTTCCATGCACCAATGGGAACCAGAACTGTAAGAGGACTCCAGGCTTTGCTGTTCTCATGAAGAGCCACTCCAGTTCTCAGTGTAGAGCATTTTTCCACAGAGAATGTAAAGCAGTGGAACAGGCTGCCCAGGGAAGCAGTGGAGTCACCATCCCTGGAAGTGTTTAAAAAACATGTGGATGTGGCACGTGGGGACCTGGCATCACACAGTGTGCTGAGCTGGAAGGGACCCACAAGGATCATCCAGTCCAACCCCTGGCCCTGCACAGGCCCATCCCCAACAGTCACCCCCTGTGCCCCAGAGGATCATCCAAACCCTCCTGGAGCTCTGGCAGCCTTGGGACTGTGCCCACTGCCCTGGGGAGCCTGGTCAGTGCCCAACCAGCCTCTGGGGGAAGAACCTTTTGCTGAGATCCAACCTGAGCCTGCCCTGACACAGCTCCAGCCCTTCCCTGGCTGCTGTCCCTGGTCCCCCCAGAGCAGAGCTCAGTCCCTGCCCCTCCTCTGCCCCTGCCCAGGAAGTTGTAGACTGTATTCTGTGATTTTATGCACAGCCTCACAGGGCATTTTGGCCCTCCTCACAGTCTGCATCTCACTTTCCCCTTGCTTGCTTTCTTCCACCCTGTATCCATCCTGGCTTTTCCACTGGCTGCTCTCCTGCGTTCTACCCACTGCTGCATCCAGCAGGGCCGGGCACAGTGCTGACAGATCTCTGCCCCCACAGAGAACCCTGCTGACAGTAGCAGAGCTGGATCTGGGTGCAAAAACCCACATAAGAGGAGCCCACACAGAAAGAGCCCGTGGGCTCTGGGTCCTGCTTGGCAACCTCAAGTATTTGTGAAGTTCTGCTGAAATGGCATTTTGATACTTTATCCTTTCTAAATGAGGAGCATGTTTCAGACTCAGAGGGGAGCTTCATGGGGTGCAACCTGTTGGCTGTCACTCTTATCTTGGATATTTGTTTTGTTTACAACCTGCATGTAATTTGCTGCAGCAAATCTGAAGTGGATTTTGACAGTCTGCATCAGTCACCTCATCCACCACGGGAAGTGCTGGAGCTTCATCTGTTCTTTGAAAACTTTCAAGGCCAACACTGAACAGTTTCAAAAAAAAAAAAAAAAAAAGAAGAAACTTGTTTCAATTTCATCCTCAACTTTCTCACTCTCAAACTGTTCAGGTACTGTTCAAAGGTACAAAGGATCCTGTGAGAGGAATGGAGATGGCCAGGACGAAATGGGAGATGCCAAGAGGAGTGGCTGGGGAAAAACAACACTCTGCCTGCTCCCTGCACATCTGCATGGATGTCAGATTTGAACCTTTACCTGCTCCCTGCACATCTGCATGGATGTCAGATTTGAACCTTTACCTGCTCCCTGCACACCTGTATAGGTGTCAGATTTGAGCCACTACTGCATATTTGGAAATCAGTCCAAACTCAAGTGCGTCTCACACCCTCAGCTGGGTTTTCTTGGGAGCTTTACATGTGATAAAAGTGAACAACAGGCACCAAGCCCTGCCAGAGGGAGGGTTGTACCTGTTTCTATGGCTGTGGGGTAGAGGGAGAGCTTTCCTTGGCAGAGGGTCTGTCCCTCCATCCTGTGCCACCTGAAAGCTCCTCACTGAGGTGACACCTGCTGGCACCAGAGTGCTGAACTCCCACAGCTGTGCTTTCCAGTGTGTGCTCACTGAGGGTGAAAAACCTCGAGAACAAGGGAGAGTTTCAAGTCAGGTTCCAAGATAAAGATAATTTTCCTGCTATTTCTCCTGAATAGCTGTTTGATCTTAGATTTGGATACATTTCTCAGCCGCTTGCAGTAAAATGTCAGAATCTGAAAGAATACTTTATCAAATGCTGCTTCTAAGTGCTCTTGGCTTGCCAGGACATTAAATTAATGAGAAGTCACTGTCAGGCACACTCTCTCCTTGCTTGAAGAATTATGCTTTACTCTGTTTCACATGTACAGCCATATTTCCTTCCAGGGCACAGAGTGTGAATGTGACCAAACACCTGCAGAAAAACTGGCTTCTGATAAAGAAAGGGAGATGCTGTTTTCCTCCTAAACTGTCTGAGTAAGTAATTCTCACACTGCATTCATCCAGCACCGCAGGAATCTTCTCCTGTGAGCTGGTTCTTTAACTTTTCCCTGTTAAGAGTTCAACCGTGCAGGTCATGGCAAATCTTTGAGTCCTGGTGATCAGAAAGCTCCAGAACAGTAAGAGCTGGAGTGGGCTCAGAGCAGACGTACATTGTGATTGATTTGTTTGGATTGGGACGGTCTATACATTGTGCCACTTTTCTCTCCTCTGAAATGTGTCCTATTATTGACTCCCTGGTATTTCAGAGCAGCAGCATCTGCTAAAAGCTTTTCCTATGTAAGCTGTGCATTTCTTATGTTTCCCAGCCATACACTGCAATGAAAGGCATGCTGGGGAGTGGCCTGACTTTGGCCAAGAAGGCTTTGTTTGCTGCTGCTTTGTGACATCTTCCTGAATTCTGAAAAACTGTGGTTGGATGAGGACACGCGAGCAAATATTTCAGTCTGAGTCTGCCTGCACTTGACAATTGTTCTGCTCTGCTCTGCTCTGTGGTGGTTCAGCC